TTTTGTGTGGACACAGCTTTTTAATTCATTTAGATAAATACCAAGGAACATAATTGCTGGATCATACAGTAAGAATATGTTTAGCTTTGTAAGAACCCATCAAACTGTCTTCCATAGGGTCTTGTCATTTTTGCATTCCTACCAGAAATGAGAGTTCCTGTTGCTCCACATCCTTGCCAGCATCTGGTGTTTGGATATTATCCATTCTGATAGATGTGTAGTGATATCTAATTGATTTAATTTGCAATTCCCTAAAGAAAAATGATGTTGGACATCTTTTCATATGCTCACTGGTCATGTATATATATTCTTTAGTGAGGTATCTGTTCAGCTCTTTTCCCCATTTTAAAACCAGATTGTTCAATTTTCTAGTTATTGAGTTATATGAATTCTTTGTATATTTTCGATAACAGATCTTTATCAGATGTGTGTTTTGCAAATATTTTCTCCCATTCTGTGGCTTGCCTTCTTATTCTGTTGATATTGTTAAAACTGAGGATTTTCATTTTAATGAAGTCCAGCTTATCATCAATGATTTCTTTCATAGAACATACCCTGTGTGTTGAATCTAAAAAGTGCTAGCCAAACCCAGAGTCATTAAGGCTTTCTCTTATGTTATCCTCTACAAGTTTTGTAGTTTTGCATTTTACATGTAGTCCTATGCTCCATTTTGGGTTAATTTTTGTAAAATATATAAGGCCTGTATCTATATTCTTTTTTTAACATTGTATGTCCAGTTATTCCAGCCTTATTTGTTGAAAAGACTATTTTTGCTTCACTGTATTGCCTTTGCTCCTTTATCAAATATCAGTTGAGTATATTTATACATTTATGTAGGTCTGTTTGTTTCTGAGCTCTCTATTCTGTTCCATTGATCTATTTGTCCATCCTTTTGCAGATATCATGCTGTCTTTTTTGCTGGAGTTATACAGTAAGTCTTTAAGTTGGGTAGTGTTAGTTCTCCAACTTTGTTCTCCTTCAGTCTGTTCCTGCATGTTTTCTACTTTTACCATTAAAGCTATTATCAAGTTAATTGTAGTTTTAAAATTCTTTGTCTGATAATATCAACATTTCTGTCATATCTGACTCTGGTTCTGATGCTTTATCTGTCTCTTAAAACTGTATTTTTTTGCCTTTTTTTATCTTGTGAATTTCTGTGAGGTGCACATGATGAACTGTACAAAAGAAAGTGCTGTAAACAGGCCTTTAATAATGTAGTGGTAAGATGTGGGGGCAGAGTGAGCATTCTACAATCCTATGATTAGGTCTCAGTCATGTGCCCATGACCAGTGCCTCCCAGTCCCCCCAGCCCTGCTTAGGTGGGACAGGATGGCTGGAGGCAGCTGATGTTGGGTATTTTCCTTCTCCCATGTAGGTTAGGCTGTTATAAAACCCCAGAATGTTACACTGTGGTTAAATAAGTTCTCCTGAGGGCAGGTCTTAAGAAAAGAATGCCACAATCCTAAAATTCATATAGAACCAAACAAGAGCCCAAATAGTCAATGCAATCCAAAGCCAAAGGAATTAAGCTGGAGGCACTGCATTAGATGACTTCAAATTATATTACAAGACCATGGTAACCAAAACAGCATGGTACTGGTATAAAAAAATAGACATATAGATCAATGGAAGAGAATGGAGATTCTAGAAATAAGGCCACATACATACAGTGAACTGATCTTCAACAAAGTCAACAAGAACACAGAGTGGGGAAACGACACCCTTTTCAATAAATAATGATGGAAAAATTAGACATCCATATAGAGGAGACTAAAACTAGAACCTTATCTCTCACTATGTACAAAAAAAATCAAGATGTATTAAATAATTAAATGTAAGACCAGAAACTATAAAAATACTATAAGAAAACCTGGGAGAAACTCTTATGAACATTGGTCTAGGCAAGAATGTATGACTATGACCTCAAAAGCATAGACAACAAAAACAAAAGTAGACAAATAGGACTTAATTAAACTAAAGAGCTTCTGCACAAAGAAAGAAATAATCAACAGATGGAACAAACAACCTGCGGAATGGGAGAAATATCTGTAAACTATTCATCCAACAGTGACTAATATCCAGAATATACAAAGAAACCAAACAACTCAACAACAACAAAAATACAAAAATTCCCATTTAACAGTAGACAAAGCAAAGGCATGAGTAGATGTTTTTCAAAAGAAGACATAAAAATGGCCAAGAGGTATATGAGAAAATGCTCAACATCACTGATCATCAGAGAAATGCAAATTAAAACCACAATGAGATATAATCTTCCACCAGTCAGAATGTCTATTATTTAAAAGACAGAAATAATAGATTTCATTGAAGATGTGGGGAAAAGAGAATTCATACACTATTGGTGGTAATGTAAATGAATACAACTTCTATGGAAACCATTATGGAAATTTCACAAATAACTCAAATTGGAGCTATTATATGATCCAGTAATCCCAGCACTGTGTATCTACCTAAAGGAAAAAATCCTTATAGCAAAAACATCCCTGCACTCATCTCATATATTTATTACAGCACTATTTGCAAGAGCAAAGCTATGGAATCAACTGTCTATCAACAGATGATTGGATAACAAAAATGTAGTATACGTACACAGTGGAATCTATTGAGCCATTAAAATCATGTATTTTGCAGCAATATGAATGGTTCTGGGGGTCATTATCTTAAGTGAAACAAAGCACACACAGAGAGTCACATATCACATGTTGTCACTCGTAAGTGGCTAGTAAGAGAATGTGTACACATGGGCGTAAAAGTGGAATGTTAGACAAGAGAGACTCCAAAGGGTGAGGGATTGGGAGCGGGTGGATGATGAGACACTACTGAATAGTACAATGTACGTTATGCAGGTGGTGGAAACCCTAAAAGCCCTGATTTGATCACTATCAATCTATACATGTAACAAAATTTTACTTGTACTCCATAATTTTATACAAATTATTTTAAAAGTTGGTTAAAATTAAAGAACAGAACTCTCTAGTGTAATTTAAGTGGTTTCTTTTCCCCTCTCCCTGCTGGAGCAAGAGGATATTCTTCTCTAACATTCACTGTGAGCACTAAGTTAGAGCTCTTGGAGGTAAAACACACAAAAGGTCCCCGGCCACCCCCATTACTGGGTTCCCCTGAAGTTTTTAACTCTCAGACTTGACCATACTGTGCTTCCATCAATTCATCAGTAACAGTTCAGATGTTCATACTCTGGCAGTGATTCCCAGGTTGGTTTCTGCTAACTGATTTCTGCTTTGGTAAGTTGTGATTTTCTGTAATTGCATTTCTATCTCTATAATTTTGAGAGCAGTGATTTCCCTTGTGCCCGTACTTCTCGGGTGAAGTTGTTCATTTTTCAACGTGTTCAACCTTTTTACTGGTTAAAATGGAGTAGCAACTTCTAAGCTGCTTATACACTGAACTAAAAACTAGCAGTTTCTCTGCTTATTTATTAAAAACAAAAATAAACTTCTAAATTTATGCCAATATATTTTGACTTTTACTGAGTATATCTTGATTTATTATTTTTTAGTTTCCAAAATTAGATAATGCAAGCATTTCTATGTTGACATAAAATTTGGTGTCCTTTATTCTTACACAGCTTTTAGAGGTCTTACAATCCAACAACTTAAATCCTTTTAAAATTCAGAGTTGAAAAACTTGCTAAACCGGATATTAAAATAAATAGGACAAAATGACATAGCTATTTCAAAACAATATGATTCTGAATAAAATGTTAAAACTATATCATATATCACTGAATATATAAGTATCATTGCATTTAAAATCTGAATTATGTATTCAAGCAAATCCTAATATTTGAACTTCTACATTTTTTTCAAAAGGACTAAAAAAGATATGTAATATTTATGCAGCCTTCATTAAAGTATATCTACGGTTGCCTAGGAGATGAAACAAAATGTCCAGAACCTTTTATTGTCTTTGTAGTCAGCATGAACTGTTACTCAATTCATGATTCTGCATTACTAAAGACAGAAAATGGTCCAGTGAAGGTCCATTTCAAAATATATATTTTTATTTTAAATATAAATCCTACAAAATATGTCACATGTAAAGGTGAATAAACACATTTAATTATGACAGGTCATATATTTTGGAAAAATATTTTACAAAGACTTTATTATTCTTACTTTAGAATGTTTCATTAATATGCGAACCACTTAAGAATTTTCATGTCTATTTCAAAGATTTGTTCCTTCAGAAAATACAATTTTTTTTGGCTCAGAAACAACATACACACTTTGCCAATGAAGTACTAAACACTGTAGCTCACTGAATAATGCAGATTTATAATGGTTTCAGGGAGAAACCCTGAACATTGTGTCACCTCACACAGAATTGACAGCATCAGTAGCCTGGCAAATATAGCCCTTGCAATGATATTATTTTTATTTGTTTAACTGAAATTCTATTTTTGGTTTCAATCTCATACCATATGAAACACACATACACACAAAATAATCATACTAAATTTACTCTTAGGTTCAATAGGGAATAGATGATGAAGATGCTTTTTGCAAAGTGAATAAAAACATGATAAAAATACACCTACATTAGTTTAGCACAGGTAATAAAGCTCACTTTAGAATATGTAAGATTATTATGATATAAAATAATCATAACAAAATTTAATATATAGGTAAGACAGTTATCTGCCAAAAACAAAATTATTAAACTAAATTAAAATGAAGTTCAACTATATGTGTTGGTATAAACATACTCTTATGCCATAAATACTAATTATGTCAAAATACAGATGCCAACTTCGTGCTCTAAAGATCAAATTCATGCTTGTATGTGATTTTTGAAACATTACATTTATAATTTACAATTTTTAACTCAAAAACACAACTTATCTCTTCTTGTGAACATTTTAAAAAACTTTAAAATCTGTTATGCTGAATGCTGATTATATATACTATATATGTATATACAAATAACATGAAAAATAGTGACCTGAATTTTTTTCAATTCTGTATTTCCCCATTCACAATACAAACCAGGCACAGGTCCTGGGCTGAACATGGGATAGGTTTATTCTACCTCCTCTTTCTACACCATTAGTGTAAGAACACAGTCTGTGGAAAGCACCGGGAGACCATAAGCTGGATTTTTGAAAGAAATTAAGGTCAATAGTCATGTGCCAATTTTTTTCATTTAGAATAGGATCTTTCATTTTCATCTACATATGCACAAGAGCTGGTCAATACTCAAGCCAGAAGAAGCGCAAACTCACAATAATATTTTAGGATCAATCTATTTCTATATTTTAACAACAGCTACACTTTTAATATGTTTCAAAACCAGGCATTCATTTATAAAGGCTCATAGTGGCATAAAAGGCAAGAAGGGAAAGATTTTGAATTCTCATAATCTCCATGAGCTGCTCCAAAGTCATTTTAAAGGAAATACGTTTCATTAAAAAGTATTTTTCTTAAAATCTGTTCCCGTTCCCGCATATAATACAAATAAGGATACTGGCATTCTGGCATTGCATGTGTGTGTGTGTGTGTGTTAGTGTGTGTTTGTAAGTGGGGCTTGGAGTATTATTATTAAACTCCTAAGCTGAAATATTTCCATCATTTCTAATTGAAGTTGAAATTCAGGATGGAACTCTCAACTCCTTTTCTGAAGAACGCTTTAGGATTTACAATATGAATATTATTCTCCAGAGTTAGATATTTGCTGGCTCCAGGGAATTTTACCAGCTATTTCACAACTTACAGAAAAAGTACCTGAAAAAAAAAAAGCCACAAGGCTTTACACCATTGGGAATTTATAATGAAAAATAAGCAAAATACTGAGGAAATATCTGTAATTAATGTGCTTAGGATGGGAAGCTCAAGAAAAAGAAAGAAAAATAAAGTACTATATATCTTTGGCAGAATATGCCCTTGAATAACACTGGTGAAAAATCTAGTAAAACTGCACATCATCTGGCTTTTTTGTTCCACTAATTAATAAAATAAAAATACACAAATTATCTTTAAGTAATCAAGAAATTTAAAAAGTGAAAACAATCAAAGATAAATCATATATTATTCTAAACCAAATCCACTTGACGAGGTACATTTTAAATAGTAATTTTTTCTACTACTGTAATAATAGGTTAGAATACTATTTTCAGGAAACTATGCAAATGTTGCCACACTAACAATGTAGTTTATTTTCAAACATAATTAACTGTCTAAAAATTTGTCAGATGCAACATGGCACTCTTCTTTAGAATTGTTTTCATTTCCTTTTAAAATATTTTTATAATAAATAGTATCAGTATACATTTATTTTCTGTTTCATTAAACGATTTTCTTTATGGGAAAGACTTGCTTAAAATTATTGCTATTTTCATACATTAATCTCATTATATAAAATGTTATTATATATTTAAAGGCTAAGATAATTTGAAAACATTATTGGCCAGGTGTGATGGCTCACACCTGTAATCCCAGCATTTTAGGAGGCTGAGGTGGGCGAATCACAAGGTCAGGAGTTCGAGACCTGTCTGGCCAACATGGTGAAACCCTGTCATTAGGTGGGCATAGTGGTGGGCGCCTGTAATTCCAGCTACTTTGGAGGCTGAGGCAGGAGAATCACTTGAACCTGGGAGGCAGAGGTTGCAGTGAGCTGAGGTCACTCCACTGCACTCCAGACTGGGTGCCAGAGTGAGACTCTGTCTCAACAAACAAACAAACAACAACAACAACAAAACACCCATTATTAAGGACTCATCTGAAATTAGGGTAGGTAAAATGCCCTTTCTTCAATATTTAATTAAAATTACCCTTATTATATTCTTACTTCTGCTTTAAAACTAGAAAATAAGTGTCTTATTCACTCTCAGAATTTGGCAATGTGAAAATGTCCACAGTATAAATGACATACAAATATAACTGTATGAGAAGCAAGGCAGAAAAAAAAATTGCAGGAAATCGTAATTACAAATAAATGTATCTTACTCTTTGTAGTCCTTCATACCAATCATCTTGCTCAAACCAATTTGAAATGTAAGTCATCCAAGCCATAGGGTGTTTCTACTTTAATCAAGGCAATTGGAAACTCAGCATCAGAATAGTCAGCACCTAAAGTAACAATAATGTGTTTCAACCAAACAAGATTTACCAAAATCTCCCTTGTGAAACGACACTCAGTACAAAAGACTAGAACTGCACAAATATTTCAGCTGAAGCATTTTTAAGTATTTACAATTAATAGTATCTGTTAAAAGAATGAAATAAAAGTCCATATTCAAATAAGAAAAAAATCAATAATAATGTTGTTGGATAGTACCAGAGAATGCTATATCAAATATTTTATTAACCTTTCTGTTTACATTCTTAAAAAACAATCTTAGATTTAACTTTTGTAAGAAATAGAGCAATAATTTCTAAAAGTTACCAAGTTAAAAATAAGGAATCCATAAAAATCACAAAATAGGCTGCAGAAGATGAGACACATTTTCAACCTCAGGAACTGGAAGTAAAGTTAGAGATAGAAAGCTTCTAAGTTAAAAGGTATAAAACGACAAAGCCAATCCTATAATATTTCTGTTTGCTTCCAGCCCCATACTTGAGAGTTAAATTATTTTACATTTAAGTTAATTGCTATCCACCTAACTGCATCAAAAAGTTTAAAGACACCATTTAATACAGTGCTAATACGTTCAACAGAGTCAAATCACATGAATGTAATTTAATTTTAGTTTTACTCATTTTTAGAAGAGATTATTTGCTAGCCATGATGAGTAAGATATTTCTTGCTACACTGGAGAATATTTGGACTTCAAAATATCCTCTATTAAGTTAAGATGTTTAACCCAACATATGAAAGGTTGTAAGTGGTCTTTTCTTCAGCAAAGACAAAATAAAGGAAGGAAGGACAAAGGGATAAAGGATGGACAGAAGGAAGTGAGGAAAGAAAGAAGGAAGAGAAGAGAAAAAGAGAAAATGAGTGAAATGACGAAAAGAGAATTAAGCAACAAAAGAAAAGAAGGAAAGAGGGGAGTGGAGGGGGAAGAGAGAATTACAGTTTTTGTAATTTGAATGTTTCATTATTAAATATCCAAAAAGTAAGATAGCTTTTGTTCTGGCATAGAAAGATACGCTTGTATGAAATATAATTATCACTGCAGCTAGTTGAGAACAGCTTTATCTCCACTGTAATTCCTTACTCTCCAGAAGTATGTTCAAAAATATCTGAGTGAAGCCTCAAGTCAAAACGCTTGGGAATACGTTCTTGCACGTGCAAGAAGCTCCAGGATTGGCAAAATCTCTTGCTTAACTTGTCTACATTTCAATGACTTCATTGAATCTGTTACCTTGGCAATTCCACCCTGCCCTTTTAGTTTCCAGAAAGCCCCTTGTTTTGCTGATCTGCTCAGATTTTTAGTCGCCTGCCTTATCCTGTTCTCTGGATTTGTCCCCTCTCCATTGCTGTCTGTTTTGTCTATTGTTTATCATATTTTGATTTGCAGTTCTTTATCTAAGTCCTGCCATCAGCTTTTTTACTCTACTTTGAACTTGTATCTAGTACTGGCCTGACAACACTACCAACCTCATCTCTGCTTCAGTTATTCCAGTGTGTCTCCCATAATTCAACCTACAGGCCATACCAAGCTCCTAAACTCCATTTGGAGCTACGTGCTGATCTAGATCTCTCAGCCCTTTACCTGATAAACCTAATGTACCTCTTTCAAGTAAGGTTTTCCTTTCTACCACCCCAAATATTCTTTCTCTTTCATTCTCCATTTCAATGACTGTCATTATACTCAAGATAGTAACCTGAGATGAAAATATCAAGTTCCTTGATTCTTCCATCAACCTTATCTCCTCCTACTACTACATTTGATCACCAAGTCTTATCGAATTACTTTGGGAAAAGCGTCTTCAGAAGGCCCTTATCTTCATCACCAATGCCACTACTTTTAATGAAATCCTTCCTTGTGTCTTGTACAAACTAATGCAATAATTTACTTACTGTTCTCTGCTTTCAATGTAATTCCCAAATACATGTTGCTCTTCTATGCTTTCAAGACTTTTTGCCTTGAAGCTTTTAAATGTTTTGCCCAGGCTGCCCCTTTCACCTTTTCCTGAGTGGTGAGCACTTGCAAGTTTTTCAAGACTGAAATTAGATATCTCTTTTAAAGACTTTCTCGAATCCTCCAAATCTCTTGTCTGTGCTCCTTCATATCTATATTTGTAGGTATTAGATAGTGATTATTTTTGTAGATATAAATTGTGAGTTCCCCAAAGGACCAAGCCTGAATCATCTTTGTATAGAAGATACAAAATGTGTGTTGAGTGAACTGACATATGCAGTGCTATGAAAGTTTGTCACCTAGTGGCAGTTCACATGAACTGAAAGCACATGTCTCAACAGAAACTTGAGAACATTTAAGGAAATGTATCTAAATCTAAATGAAATGGGATTACTATCCAATTCCTTGTAGGGAAGTAGCTAAACAAAATCACTTAATAAATTGTTTTTGGTGTTTTTTTAAGAGTAAAATAAAACTTGAATTAGTAAAAGTACTTTGTAATCATGTCGCCACCAAGCGTGTCTTTATTATACTATATTAAAAATCTAGTGTGAATAAAATACCTTATTTATAGAGGATATAATAGTTATTTCTCGTGTCCTGATACTTTTCCATGAGCACTGTTTATTATATTTGCAAAGAATAATAAAAGCCGGATATTTCACATTGTGTAATCTCAGATTAAATGTTATCTTGCATAAAAAATATTTTTTTTTGTTGTACTCCAGGTATTTTGATTAAATGAAAGTAGATGGGATCTGGTTCATTTAGTATAAGAATAGTAAATAGGTTTTAACTCTCACCCCTCCCTGGGGTGCAAAGTTGAAACCTTTAGCTGACCTCAGAGGGGAGGCATGTCATCATCACTCAGACATAACTGAGATAAAAAAGAAGAAAGTTTTGAGGAAATTTATTACATATCTTCACATCTCTGTATCTAGGTCCATGGGTCTAATTACATGGATATTTCATTTAAATCGCCCATTTGACTTACTTTAGTCAGAAAATTCTTACTACCTATTAAAATTAGTGATGAAGGAAATGACAAAAATCAAATATTATATAT